TAGCTGTGATTTGGAGGAGAAAGGGAGGTATTATGTCCAAGGTTGGGGTGGAAGCAGAAGAAGCTGGTGTTGTGGCCTAGAGAAGTAGTTATGGGCTGAGGTGATTGTTGGAGAAAATTAGAGCAGCAGTCTGGAGCAAGAGCTGATCAGTGACAATAATAATGAACTTGTGCAGAAGCAAATGCTCTTGGAACATGCATAGATATTTAGGGAGGGGACTAGAATTTCTGGAGTTACACGGGTTAAGGGCACAGATTGCATTCTGGGGCATTAAAAGGGAAGGTGCTCCTTCCTTTCTCTACCAAAAATTAGGGAATTTGGGAAAATTGGAATTTGGAGTTTTCCCAAATATATATATATATACACACACACAAGCAGAAATATCTAGGCTAAAGTGGTTAAATCTGGACGGAATGATTGGGTGGGCCAAAGGAGGATTCTAACATTCTGTTTTTGTTTACACTTGCATTACTTGCATTTATTATGATAAGCATGCATTAGTTTTGTAATTAAATATAATGTTCAGGGGCGCCTGGGTGGCTCAGTCATAAGCGTCTGCCTTCGGCCCAGGTCATGATCCCAGGGTCCTGGCATGGAGCCCCACATCGGGCTCGCTCCCTGCTCAGTGGGGAGCCTGCTCCTCCCTCTCCTACTCCCCCTGCTTGTGTTCCCTGTCTCGCTGTATCTCTGTCAAACAAATAAGTAAAATCTTTAAAAAAATAGAAAAGAAATTATAATGTGGACAAATGATTATATGATTAAAAGTTATATTTCCCAAGACCACTAATTCAATGTGAAATGCTTATGTTAGGTGAAATAAATAGCTATGAATTCATACTTAGAGTATACTTGCAATTTTTTTAAAATGAAAATGCCAGGGCACCTGAGTGGCTCAGTCAGTTAAGCGTTGGACTCTTTGTTTCAGCTCAGGTCATGATCTGAGGGTCATGAGTTCAAGCCCCACATTGGGCTCTGTGCTCAGCACAGAGTCTGCTTAAGATTCTCTCTCTCTCGGGGTGCCTGGGTGGCTCAGTCGTGAAGCGTCTGCCTTCGGCTCAGGTCATGATCCCAGGGTCCTGGGATCGAGGCCCACATCGGGCTCCCTGCTCAGTGGGAAGCCTGGTTCTCCCTCTCCCACTCCCCCTGCTTGTGTTCCCTCTCTCGCTGTGTCTCTCTCTGTCAAATAAATAAAATCTTTAAAAAAAAAAAGATTCTCTCTCTCTCTCGCCCCCTCTCCCTCAGCCCCTCCCTCACCTTCACTCTCTCAAATAAATAAATAATCTTCAAAAAAATGAAAATGCCAAAAAGAAAAAACAGCATATGTTTTTTATTTGGTGTGATTTAATTTTTTTATATTTTTCTATATTTTCCAAATTCCTTTTTATAATCGTGTATTGCTTTTGTAGTCAGAAAGAAAACAAACATTCTTCCCCAGAGCCTTCCAGATAAAATCCAAATTCCTTAGCCTAGCATGTGATGATGACCTGGCCTCTGTTCTCTGGTCACTTCTCACCATTCTCCAGGCCTAACTTCAAGGTCATGCCAAATTGCTTGCATTTCCCTAATTGCAATGTCATCATTATCTGGGGGTTATTTGTGGGGTTGTTTTGGTTTGTTTTTCTTTTTTTTAAGATTTTATTTATTTATTTGACAGAGAGAGAGAGCGCACAAGCAGGGAGAGTGGCAGGCAGAGGCAGAGGGAGAAGCAGGCTCCCCGCAGAGCAAGGGGAGCCTGATGTGGGACTCGATCCCAGGACCCTGGGATCTGAGCCAAAGGTAGTCGCTTAACCAACTGAGCCACCCAGGCGCCCGGTTTGTTTTTCTTTTAAAGATTTATTTATCTGGGTGGGGGTGAGAGGGAGAGACAGTACCAAGCAGACTGTCCTCTGAGGGTGGAGCTCAAGGAGGGGCTCGATCCCAGGACCCTGAGATCACGACCTGATTTGAAATCAAGAGTCAGTTGCTCAACACTGCTCCACCCAGGCACCCCTGGGGGTTATTTGTTTTTATTATTTATTATTTTTGCCTAAGGTGCTCCTTCCTCCCTCCCTCCCTTCCTTTTCTTTTTTCTCTCTTTCTTTTTTTTTAAGTAGGCTCTACAACTGGCTGTCCAAGGTGGGGCCTGAACTCAAAATCCCAAGATCAAAAGTCACATGCTCCACTGATTGAGCCAGCCAGGTGCCCTGCCTAAGGTGTTCTTAAATGCCTTTATTTCCCTCTGGCTTTCTTAACTGGCCTCTTTGATTTTAAGCCCCAGCCCTGTGTTTTCAAGGGATAACCTCCTCTGGGATGCCTTGGGGTTGGTCAGATACCTCCTGCTTTGTGTGGCCCCAATATGTGTTTCCTTTCTCTTCTTACACTGAATTGCAACCAGGGTAACCAACCGCCCCGGTTTGCCTTTCCTTAATCCTAATTCTCTGTTAACTTGTTCACACTTAAACTAGGACTACCTTGACTACACAGGCTGTTTACATAATCTCTGGAGGTTTTTTAAATTTTATTCTTTCCATTATTATGCATTGTCTCTCTTAGAATCTTTAACCACCTTAGTCTTGAGTTTATTAGAGGATAGTAGACGACAAGTAAATGGAAGGTCCTGCTCCTCCCAACAGGTGATAGAGCAGCCCCCACTGTGGTGAGATCTGCGGATGCTAGAAAGTTACTCAGAGGTCTGTTACAGGCTTGTCAGAACCTCAGTGAAATTCCTCCTGTAGGCTAAAGCATTTTGGTAATTGGAAGGAACAACATCTTAATTAGTTAATGCCGTATATTAGGATGGTTTTGTTTATTCTTTCCTTTAGTGCTCATTGTAACTTTGAACAGTTGTTTAAATACTAGTTAATACTGCAGTTGGCCCCATTTCAGTGCTGCATTCCCAACTCCCCTATCCTGCTCTGCTTTTCATATTTTCTGTAAAACTTACCATCATCTACATGCTGCTAGAATGTATTTCTTTATCATTTCATAGTCTGCAGTCTGCTCCATCCCCACCACTGCAGGACAGGGATCTTGGTTTTGTCCATCCATTTATCCGAAGTACCTACTACCAAAGTGCCTGGCACATAATAGATGCTCAGTTAAGGATTTGTTGCATAAATAGATCTGCCTAAATTAGAGATTATTTCTCTTTTTGGGTTAACTCATTATAATTCGTTAACTACAAAATGAACACTTTAGGATATCAACAGAGGCCTTTTACTACTTTTTTTTCTTTCTTTTTGTAAATTTGCTGCCCAGGACCCCTGCGCTGCTCACCCCAGCTGACATCTGCCTGCAACTTTATGGGAGACCCTGAACCAGCACTTAGCTTCCAAATTCCTGCCCCACAGAAATTGTGAGAGAGAATAAATATTGTTTTAAAAGTTTTTGGAGTGAGGGGCACCTGGGTGGCTCAGTCGGTTAAGCATCTGCCTTTGGCTCAGGTCATGATCTCAAGGTCCTGGGATTGAGCCCTTTGTCAGGCTCCCTGCTCAGCGGGGAGTCTGCTTCTCCCTATCCCTCTGCTGCTCTCCCCTCCCACTTTCTCTCTCTCTCTCAAATAAATAAATAAAATCTTTGAAAAAAAAGTTTTGGAGTAATTTGTTAGGTAGCAAGGGATAACTAACAAATATACAAATCCCTTTAAAGGGAAAAAAATTTCTGACCCCGCACTGTTTTTATTTTAAGTACAAACATACAGTATGAACACCTCAGGCTTACAGCTTTTATACAACTATTAAACCAAAAGAGATTTTAAAATTAGACATTACAAAACATTCAAATAAAAAGTAATTTTAGGGTGCCTGGCTGGCTCAGTTGGTAGAGCCTGCGACCCTTAATCTCAGGGTCATGAGTTCAAGCCCCTAGTAGGGCACGGAGTCTACTTAAAAAAAAAAAGTAATTTTAATAGACAGTTGTTTTGCTGAGATTAAATTGCCACTCAATGAGACTATCATATTGACAGTACCTGAGACCTCTCCTCCTGCACTGTTCATTTACTTGAGTAAATTCGCTTTTTCGCCTTAAGTTTGTTTGAAATGGATTTTCTGTGTCTTTCAACCAAGACTTTACTCAATGATATGGTTCCTTCTGTTGCCACAACTTGTGGAAACTTAAAATAAAAAACAAACGAAAAAAACAGCATACTCCAGGCGTTCATTTTCATCCTTCCCTCCGCCTTCTTAGTACGGCACCCACCGCCTCGACCCGCGCCCTCGCGCGTCGGGCCCGGGCTGCACGACGCCGGGCAGGACCTGGTCTCCGAGGAGGGCTGCTCAAATCCTTCCCACCGGTCCTCCTGTTACGGCTCCGTCCTATAGAAGGTGGCACCTTGTTTTCCCCGGTCTGAATCGGGGGTATGTGGAGTTGTACCCTCGCCCGGACCGTCGCTGTCATACCCCACAGCTCGACGCCCGGGGTGCGCTCTTATCCTGAGCTCCCAGAGGACAAAACCGGGCAGGGAGCCGGGTACACGGTGCACCAGAACTGATACTTGAGGGCTTATTCACCGCTGAAGACACACGCTTCGGACGGCCTGGGCCCGCTTTTCGCGCCAGGGAGACGGCAGCAGGATCCCGCCTCCCAGGGAAGGCCAGCATTCGCATAACCGAGCTCTGCGTGGCTTAAAACAAGCACCACGCTGATCTCCTTTAAATCAGAGGCGACGGGCAACCTTCGCCTCAGCTGTGTTTCCCTCCCAGGGTTGTGCCGGCCCCTGAGCACCAGCCGCCCGGCACCGCCGCCCTTCGGCCATCGGGGGGCAGTAGGCGTCGAGAAGGGCCGCGCATGCTCCAAGTGGGGCTCCGCGCTTCGCCTCCGCGACCGCCGAGTGACGCGAGCAAGGGCATGCGATCATGGGAAATGTGGTTTCCGAACCTCGGGACCACTGCGGTGCGCCCCCCGCGTAGACCCAGAGCAGGACTTCAGCTCCCGGTTGGCCTGCGGGCCGGGAGGGGACGGGAGGGAAGGGGGCGGGGCGGGTAGGGGGGAGGTGGGCGGGGCCGGGGGAAGGCCCAGCGGAGGGGGCGGGGTCTGGCCGGCTGAGGCGCCGCCGCCCGCCGTTGGAGGAATCCGAGGCGAGGGACCGGGAACCGCGAAGAGTCTGGACCGCGGCGGGTGCGAGGGCAGGCGTGCCCAGAGTGGTCGCGCGTGCGTCGGCCGCCGCCCCTCGGCCTTCCTCTTCGCAGGTCCCCTCCCTCTCCGCCGGGACGCGGGAGAGCCCGGCGCGCGACGGGGGCGTGAGGTGGAGGCGGCGGGGGCGGCCAATGCGAAACTGGCTTGTGCTGCTGTGCCCGTGTGTGCTCGGGGCCGCGCTGCACCTCTGGCTGCGGCTGCGCTCCCCGCCGCCCGCCCGCGCCTCTGGGGCCGGCCCGGCAGGTGAGGTCCTGGGGCCGGGCGGGCCAGGAGGCCGGGAGGGGCGGGAGGCCGCCTCCGAGCCCCCGGGCGGCTTCCTCCACGGAGTCCCGAAATGGGGAACGGGCCGAACGCGACCGTCCCCAGGCGACACAAATGGCCCTTTTCATCTTCGGGGCGTTAAATCGGGCAAACTCGAGGGCGCTTTTCTCGTTTCGTGTCCCCGCCGCTTCTCACCTCCCGCTTTCTTCCTTTATGGGCACGAGAGCGGTGCCCGCCACCGCGAGTCCTTCGTCTGTCCCCCAGGCCTGGTCCGAGTTGTCCGGCGCCTGCCCGCTGGTCCTGGGAGCAAAACCTTGTGTCCTTCAGCCGCGGGCGGCCGCTGCGTGCGCCCGGGCTCCGGCTGCCCGGCCGCTTGCCTCCTTCCCAAGCTGTTGGTCTTCCTCGGTCAAGACTTGGAGGTCTTAGTGCCGTGGGCAATGCCTGTGCGTGTTTGAAAAGGCTGGGTTGTGCTTTTAAGGATAACTTTGCTTTAAGAATATACTGCATTTTGTTTTCTTTGAAAACTATGATGTAAGTCGGTTAAACAAATCTGGACATGAAATAGGGCATGGCTACGAGGGGAGTTGTTCCTGTGAGTTTGGCTTGCGAAGCCTACCAATGAAGTGTACGTGAAAACATAAAATTCTCTAACGATCCTATCCACTTGTTCTGAAACTTACACTCTCATGGGAATGAGATCTTTGTTCTTGTTCATTTCACCGCCTAATAGAATGCTTTGTCCATAGTAGGTACCCAGCGGATTTTTTTGTTGTTGTTAATGGGTTCTACCACCCTTTTTTCTTAATGGGTTTCCCTTTTTTTCCTGTCTTTTTTAAGGGCTTGCCCTAGGACATATAAAGAAACCTAGAAGGCTGTTTTAAAAATGAGGTAATAGTTGTTTTCGTGTTCTAACTACTCGGGGAGTTTTTTCCTACCACTTCTCCCCAGAACAGCTGTTTTCTTATCCAAAAGTTTTCAAAATTAGGATTGAATATTTGCAGTTATGAGATGGGTCTGTGCCTTACTTTTTAGGTAGGAAGCATGGAAACTAATTCGGCAATCCGCAAAGCAATCTCATTGTTATAATTGGGGGTTTTTATACTGGTAACAACCTCTTAGAATCTTTTCCTATTAGACAAACCACAAGATCTTCGAAAAGGCTATTTGTGTGACCTGAATAGAATTAAAACACTGTTTATTTAACGAAAATACAGTGGTTATGGAGCATTTAACCTGTTAACAGGTTAGGATTTGGGGCCTTTTTTTTTTTTTTTTTAAAGGTTTTGGTTTTTAGGTTTTTGTAAACTGAGCTCAGGAAAGACTGCCATGGATATAAAATGCTTTGTAACATCTGTTAGATTTGCGTTTTACAGCTTCCTTTCCTTTTTTGTGCGATGAGTGAGCACTACTAGAATTTACTTGCAGAGCATTCTTAGGGTATTTATGACCTTTAATTGCCTTTTGAGGTGCAGTAAACAAGCAAAACCTCTTTGCCTTCAGGCTTAAAACTTAGTAGGCAATTTCTTAGTTTCAGTGAAGTTTTTCCTATCCCCATAGTGTTTGGATGATGCCCCTATCTGCCATCAAGTTAGCCTGAGCTAGATTAAGGAGCCTGGGAAGTAGGCCATGAAGAGGATCAGGCTATAGGTGAAGAAATCAGTACTAGTTACAAAAATTAACTTTGACTTAGGTGGATAGTGTGCATCTGCCTAGATGATAAATTAGGTATTTTAATCTAAATGAAACCTGGCAGACTCCTAACTTTCACTTTTCAAAACTAAAAACAGAAGCATATTGATCGCCAAAATTTCCTGCGGCTCCTTTTCCCATTGTGTTACCACCATGTTCAAACTGAAACATTTGGGCACTTTTGCATTTCTACCCTTACACCTTCAGCCCAAAGTGAGAGAGAAAACCCAAGATTTTGTTAAGTTTTCTTCCCTTGAATGAATGTTTTAAGAATTCTTTTTGTTCTCTCGTCTGCCTCTTTGTCTTAAGGCTCATTAAGGGGATAGTGGTAGGCGAGATGACAAAATGAAAGCAGGGTAGGAGGTCAGAGAAGGGTGTGCTGCTGGTCTAGAGAAGTCAGGGGAGGCCCCTCTGAGGAGGGGCCATTGAGCAGGGACCTGAATGAAGTGCAGGAGTCCTGTCCGCACCTGGCGCTTTTCTAATGTAGAAAACAGCCGAAATACGGTCCAGGAGAGCAACTGGTGAAGAGGAAGCAGGTCTCTTTTGAAATCCGTGGGTGGATGAAGAGAATGGAGACAGGGACACTAGACTGGAGAATATAGAGGATATATCTAATATATTATAAGATACTCGTTTTGGGCAATACCTTAGCAGGAATTATGTAAACAGTAAATTTGGAAAAAGAATGAGACCAAAGACGTCTTCTCTTTCTGGGATATTTGGAGAGAAGGAAACCAAAGAAAGGAAAGAAGCATATCCATTCAATAAATGCCTAGAGCGCTAGGTATCGAGCGAGCTAGATGTGGAGTCCCCTGCTCTGAGATCCTCCTAGTCTGTTGAACTGAAACAGGGAGCAAGGAGAAGGCCAAAGACAAATTGAGCTTGCTTTACAATTTTGCCTAGGGCCAGTTCATCCAAAATTATCCCTGTATGTTAATCTTGTCTCTGTGCTTTGGTTTCCTTATTTATAAAATGATGATCTCATAGGGTTATTGTGAAGATTCAATACAACACCCAGAAAAGTGCCTGATTCATAGTAAACACTCCATGAATTTTAGAGAGGTGCGTAGGCTAGTGAGGTATTTGGGGAGGTTTTTGAGATTGGCGAGAGCATACTAGTAGTGTATGTGAGGATTGTCCTTATCAGTAGATCTGTCATGAATTTATATGTTTCCCTCATTTCCAAGATTTCTGCTAATTTGTGATTGATGTGAGAGCATGCATGTGAGAGTGGAAATTTTGGTCTGATTTTTAAGAATCCTTGGGCCTATTTTGAACAATCAGTTTTGAAATCAACCTCCCTTGGTCTTGAATAAACTTTTGGATGTCCGCTATAAGTGCAGAGCCTCGCAGGTTGCCAGACCCTCAGGATACATTACATATTAGAGAATAGAATGCTGTTGTCCTCAGGGAGCTTGTGTGGGGTTTTAATTATTCCTGGCATGAAAATTTGTTTTTTGTTTATTGCTCTGTATCTACCATCTAGAACAGTGAACATAGGAGGTGCTTAGTAATTTGAAGGAATGAATCAAGAAAATAAAACTGGGAAAGTATGAATGAATTTGTCACCTATATATCATCTATTCACATTCCATGATGCCCTTAGGATACAAATTTTTTCTTATAAAAGTAAAACAAGTTCTTTGTAGAAAAGTTTGAAATTATTTTTAAAAACAGGGAAAATGATCTATATTACAGTTTTTGAATGCACATACAGTGCATGTTGGAGGGAAGTTACTTAGTATTTTTAAAAAATTATATTGACGTATAATATACATTCAGAAAAGGGCCTGTAAATGTATGGCTTGATATATTTTCACAAACTGAATATACCCAACTAATCCTGCACCTCAGAAGCAAGCTCCCTTCATGCTCCCTTCCATCACTGCCAGGAGTGGTAAGCACTATCCTGATCTTAAATGGCAGAGATTTGCCTGTTGGTACTTTATATAAATGGAACCGCACAGTATGTACATAGTTCTTATAGTCTGCTGATCTTAATGTGGTGAATAACAATATAACTCTACAATGTAATTTTAATGGCTACATATAGATACACTATAATTTAACCCTTTATTTCTGCATTCCTGGATTTTTGCAGTTTTTCACTATTAATAAATGACATCGTGATGAATAGAGATCTTTTAGTACATCACCGATTATTTCTTTTATTTTTTAAGGTTTTATTTATTTATTTGATAGCACAAGTAGACAGAGTGGCAGACAGAGGGAAAGGCAGAGGGAGAGGAGAGGCAGGCTCCCCACTGAGCAAAAAGCCCGCTGTGGGACTCGATCCCAGAACCCCAGGATCATGACCTGAACCGAAGGCAGACGCTTAACCGACTGAGCCACCCAGGTGCCCTGATTATTTCTTTAGAATAAGTTCTTAGACATGGAATTGCTGGATAGAAGTTATACTGTTCTGGGGAGCCTGGGTGGCTCAGTCGGTTAAGTGTCTGACTCCCAGTCTCAGCTCAGGTCTTGATCTCAGGGTCATGAGTTCAAGCCCCGTCCGTGTTGGGCTCCACTCTGGGCGTGGAGCCTACTTAAAAAAAAAAAAAAAATTTATCTGAGGCAGTTGATGTATATTGGCAAATTGTTCCACAGAAGACTACCAAATTCCATTCCAGCAGCAACGTAGGAGAGGAGCCATTTCCTTAAAATAGCTCTCCACATTTCCTTGCAATACCAATGGTTGGGGTATTATTTAAGAAGATATTTGTGTTTGAACGTAGCAGAAGCCTGGTACTTTACTGCTCTAATTCAAACTTGATTCCTTACGAAACAGTATTTTTCATAGGTTGGTTGGCTATTTGCATTTTATCTGTGAATTATCTTTGTGTCTTTTTGTAGCATGTTTACTTCTTAGCTGTTCATTTCTTTCTTTGCTGTCTCCAGACACCAGAATCAAAGTAGGTCCCCTGTACTAGCAACGTGTAGCGGAGGGTGCTGAAAGTATACATGCAAAGGCTGGTTGGGGCACTAGGAACGTGGGCATTTTGTACAAGTGTTCATTGAGCACCCACCCCCTGGGTTTTATACCGCGTAACACAGTACTCACAAGTCTGTTGGACTGATTTACATTGCTGGTACATGGTAGAAGAAACCTGTTTTTTTAACTGAGATATAATTGACCTATTACATGAGTTTCAGGTGTATGACATTGATTCAATATATGTACATATTGTAAAAATGAACACAATCTAACAGTTATAATTTTTTTTCTTGTGATGAGAACTTTTGAGATCTCTTAACAACTTTCAAATATGCATCACAGCATTATTCACTATAGC